CTAGATGCTGGTTAGGCTGAGAAAGCAAGCACCTAGCTCTTCCAGTCTCCAAAGTGGTAGAAGGAAGACAATTGAGAATGGGTGTTTAGCCAACCAAGTGTTAGTATTTACCACAAAGTCTCATCAGAATCTCACTTTTTCACTCAAACTGTTCTGTTTCCCAATGTAGAATGTGTATTCCAGAAAAGGAGTCTACCTTGCTCACCACCATATTCCTAGATGACTAAAAAGTGGCCATTCCTAAATGATAGATGACTTAGTGTATTACAACAGTATCTTTAGTCTTCAATAGTGTGACTAAACACAGAATCACACCATAGGGGAAGTCATCTGGTCTTCTCATCTTCCCAGGGTAAGAATTTCTGCCCAAAGATGGCACGACTGCCGGTCTCTGGCTGACATACCTCAAACGAGTCTCTTAAGGTGTGGGGAGTGCTTACTGTGTGTCAGGGACTAGGTTTAATGTTCTACCCGCACAATCTCATTTCTATTCACAATGACCCTATGAGGAAAATACAAATATTTCCATTTCACAAAGGAGAGGAATGAGGCAGTGTCAGAACAACGCAGCAAGTAAGTGGCAGAGCTTGGATCAGAACCCAGCTCAACCTAACTCCAGATTTCGGGTTCTGAATCACTGAACTTTACCACTTCCCATATGAACACAGTCTGTTCCACTGCTGAACAGCTCTTTGCTAGAATGTTCTTTCACTAAGCTGGACCAACGGGCCACACTTATTTCCACTTATTATCTTCATTCTGAAGGATAGTTCAGTAATCCTATGCTCTATGAGCACCCTTTGAAGGTCTCAGAATTATTTCCAGACACCATGTTATTATTTTGGTCAACTGCTTTTGGATTAGAGTCTATTTGTGGGATTCTTACATGTAGCATCCGAAGGGAAACTCCACACCACAAATCTGTTTACCAGGGTCAGACTATTATAGGCGCTGAAAACAGGATCCCCCAAGATGGGCCACTTTGACATAAAGGCAGAATTAAATCATAACAATATCCTTTCATTGTTTACCACGGAAGAAACAAAAGTTTCAAAAAGCGCTATTTTTCACTGCTTAAATTCCACTCAGTTCTTACATACAAAGGGAGTATCTATATGTCACTACATATTCACAGGACTAACTTACTCTATAAACTCATGGATTCTATGGGTAAGTGTCTGGTGGAGAAATTACTGGGCCTCTTTGTAAATAATATTTGTAAAAGAGTCAGCAACTATGAAGCAAAATTGTTTAAAACAAAAAAATCTAGTAAGGAGAAAAGGAATAATTTTCTGCTAATATGAATGTATTTTCTATTACACTAAACTCCTCTTCAGGTTACAGTTTAAAATAAGTTATTCCCTTCTGGCTGTTAGTTTGGCTTTTACTGAAAGTGTTTTGGGGCATCTGGGTGGCTCGGTCGGTTGAGCGTCCGACTTCAGCTCAGGTCATGACCTCACGGTTCGTGAGTTCGAGCCCCGCATCGGGCTCTGTGCTGACAGCTCAGGGCCTGGAGTCAGCTTCGGAATCTGTGTCTCCCCCTCTCTCTGTCCCTCCCCCACTCTCTCTCTTTCAAATATAAACATTAAAAATTAAAAAAAAAGTGTTTTGGTTTTTTTAAAACATGGAAATGTCTCAACAGTAAATATCCCAATAATCCTTGGAAAGGATGTCACCTACAAGATAGTTTGATGGTTTACCTCAATTGTTAAAAAAGTCAAACTATAAAGATGAAAATCCACTTCCGGTTTCAAGAGTCCTGTAAGCAGGACTCTACCGCCCTCTCTTGTACCAAGAACGTAAGACACCACCAGTGCAAGGAAGGCACCTCCCAGGGTGAACTGAAAGGAAACTTCTCTCCAGTAGATGGCCAACTGCGAGGGCAAGGGCAGAGGACACCTGCCTGAGAGCCTTCGCACATCTGCGCTTTCACGTTTTTGTTGAATAAACGAATCTCTTTTTTTAAAGGTTTTTTTATGTGATTATCGCTGAAATTTTAGAGTAAAAGAAAGTCATACATTTAGGATACTTTTTTTTTTCTTCTTGATTCCAACAGACTTATTTTGGTGAGTCAAAGGAGCAAAAATCTGGCAGTTTCCAGTTGCAGTGCGGGCTATCCAATGTACCCTGTTTTAAAATCCAGTGTTCAAAATCAACAAATGCAGAATAAAAGTTGGGACTTGACTGCCTTTATTTAGCCTGACGACTGCAATGCTTGAAGCGGTCTTTTGACCTGGTAAGTGACCGAAGCACAAATTATATGGGTCTTCTTAGTTTACCCTCTTGATTTCACACAGGCTGCCTCTGCAGACAAATAATTCCATCATAGAGACCTGATGTTCTAATAGGGGTTAGGGCAGATACAGTCTTTGGTTTCCTAATTTAGAAAAGTAATCTCCCCCTCCGGGAGATCTAGCCTATACTTTACACGTGAATGAAGGATACTCTCTCGGTGCCAACTTGTGCTATCAGGATTGCTGAAATTCTTTAACAGAATAAGAAGTTCTAAAACTGCTTTTATAACAATAAAATCAAACATTACTTAGAGAGCCAGATAATACTGCCTTTTCTTTCCAAAAGTTTAATTCATATTTTTTAGTCAAAATACAACACATTTTCTCAATCATTTAACCAATTAACCCAAAGGAAAAAAGTGAAATACTATGATTACAAGTATGCTAGTAAACACTTTTAGCAAGATATATGGCAACAATACTTTCAACAAGTTTTATAAGAAACTGGCATAAAACAAAGTTAACTATAACATTTTTAAAATGACAAGATCAGTTTACCTAACCTGTATTCCTTCTAAGAGGTATTTGCACTTCTTGTCCTGGCTTAAAAACAAAACAAAACAAAACTCTCAAATCACTTCCTTCTATCCAAATAAATTTACTATATTTGCTAAGCTGCATAAAGTTCACGACGATAGGTTTTGAAAACAGCACTCAACGCAAAATTAAGGCAAACTGGATAGTTGCTATCAGGTAAATTCAGCAGCTGGAAGGATCTCTGTTTAAGAATTTCTGCCTCGAATGCCCTGGGAGCTTAGATTTCAAAGGGCACATTTGTATCTGTCGTACATATGATCCTTGCAGCATTTCTGAAGGAGGAAGGAAATGATGCTCCCATTTTACTAAGGAGAAAAACTAAGAAGACTCACTGAAGATCACACAGCTTGGTCAGTGGCACAAACACACTTATCAAAGGCCTTGGAACACAGGACAGTTTCCTGTTGGTAGATTTAACTTTCTAACTGTGTCAAGATATGATCCGAGCATCAAAATAGTGTGAATTGCTTGAGGTCTGGAAAACAGACGGCAGCTACAATGGGTGATGAGGAAAGTCAGCTCAAGATTTCTCACATGCTACACGATTTACAGTGCAAGTCCGGGATAAGGAGGGAGGTGAATACAAGAAGAAGGGGACGAAGGAGTTGACATCATCATACGGCGAGGTCTGAACAGAACCTAGAATAAACTAGAACCGAAAAGATGGTCTTTCATCTGGTATTCAGACCAAAGGGTAGAGAGACGTAGAAATAGAAAGCTAAGAAATTATTCACCTTAACAGATCCCCATATTTACAATTCTAAAACTTCTTTGAGGTAGACAGATGTTAGGAATGAACTGAGTTCATGTTTTAAAAAAAGAAGATAAGGAAGGGAGGGAGGTCGGGAGGGAGGGAAGGAGGAAAAAAGGAATGAAGGGCCCTATTTTCAGTCGTACCTTTAATTAAAAAACATCCCAGTTAGTACTTGTAAAGATCCGTTTCAGTAAAGTGCTTAAATGCCTGCTGTTTCATTCCTACATTTAGAGGTTGAGACGAAGTATCTTACAGCTGAAGGACCCAGGCCAAGCTGGGCTTTTAAAGGAAAGCCTATCAGGGTTCTCAGCAAGTCTGTAACTTTTTACAGCTTGTCCATTTGGACCACCTTGTTTTCCCCTCTTTGGTTTCTCAAGTTGGGAGCTCGAATGGACTTTCCCCGCAAAATCTCCAGGATTCTCAGTCAGATGTAATGTTCCTACAAGACACGCTTGAGGCCTGCTGACACGCTTGTATCAGTTTGCACACTTGTCTCCCACTGGCCTAGATGCTCCTGAACAGGCTCCCACAGGTAAGTCCTGATTCTTCCTCTCTGAATCTCTAGGAGCTAGCATCCTGTGGGCACTCATTGATCAAGAGCCCATCTGACTTAATCGCTCAAAAGGTACATTTTATATAAGGTGAACAAACTGGAGGTTTGTAGTCCCTCACATGAAGTTCAATATATCCTGCAAAACCCGTTTTTATTCCTTTCCCTCTTCCTCCCAGGGAGGATTAGTCTACCTGGGCAAATACCTACCTTATGGTCTTAGTCCCTCTTTCAGATCCCATTTTTTAGAATTACATTTCCTTCGTTAAAATAGCCTTATGCACTTACAAGTAAAACTAAGTCATGAGAACAGCAACAAAACATATGGTCCTGAAGGATATAAGAACAAATTCTTGGGGCGCCTGGGTGGCGCAGTCGGTTGAGCGTCCGACTTCAGCCAGGTCACGATCTTGCGGTCCGTGAGTTCGAGCCCCGCATCAGGCTCTGGGCTGATGGCTCGGAGCCTGGAGCCTGTTTCCAATTCTGTGTCTCCCTCTCTCTCTGCCCCTCCCCCGTTCATGCTCTGTCTCTCTCTGTCCCAAAAATAAATAAACGTTGACAAAAAAAAAAGGGGCGCCTGGGTGGCGCAGTCGGTTAAGCGTCCGACTTCAGCCAGGTCACAATCTCGAGGTCCGTGAGTTCCAGCCCCGCATCCGGCTCTGGGCTGATGGCTCGGAGCCTGGAGCCTGTTTCCAATTCTGTGTCTCCCTCTCTCTCTGCCCCTCCCCCGTTCATACTCTGTCTCTCTCTGTCCCAAAAATAAATAAAAAACGTTGAAAAAAAAAATTTTTTTTAAAGAAAAAAAAAATTTTTAAGAACAAATTCTTCTCATCACTAGATCATGGGAAAATAAAGAAACAAATACTGGTGCCTGAACGTTATTTGTAAAGACATGACAATGAATTTGAGAATCTGAACTTCCACTTGAAACATCTCCGGGAAAAGAAACATTATGAATGTGTGAACGAAGGAAAATAGCCCTCCACTGGGACATATTTTTGCACTTGCTTTGCTCCGATTTCGGCTACATAGATGGCTCCAGTCTTCCCGCTGACATCTAAGAGATGAGGTAAAACCTGGTCTGCTAGTTGGATTGTGTTGATCACGGAACAGTTGCCAATGCTTCCCACTGGGGGTGCGGCCACCAGTAAGACCCTGCTGAGATTCAGCTGGGCTACGATCACGTACTTCCCGTCAGGAGTAAATCTAAGGACAGAGACATTTTACGGAATAAATCAATATGCAAGATCAATATAAATGTTGACTTCTTCAACATTTTTCTCCCCTACAACGCTTAACAACAATAGGCACCTATACTTGCTGAAGGTTGCTTTCGAGGAGAATTTAAGTTTGTCTAATTCTGTTTATGAGGGAATAAAGATTTGTGAAGGTAGATGTAGCCAAAGAATAGCTTGAACGACAACAAAAAGTAATACGCAAGAACCACACAAAATGAAACTAATGGACAGGAGAGTCGGTGCTAGGCTGACACTACAGACTCCAGATTTCTATTTTCGTTCTACGTTTAAAAATTCACCACATGTACCCTGAGGGTGAAAGCTGTAGGAGGTCCAGCATATGTTATCTGACACCCCGACCCCACAGTGCACTGGGACTTTAACTGCTTTTCTTCCTCTGCTTGGGATCTGAAATATGGTTACGTATTCTCTGCAAACTTGTTTCTGTTCCTTTTCCACCTTCTGAAAACAATATTTTAACGTTTCAGCTAGCTCTTCAGAGAAGCAAACATAAATCAGATTTAAAAAAGCATTAAAAAAACAACAAAAAAAAGGAAAACGTTACCTGACTGAAGAAGGTCCCTCTTCTGTGAAACAATTATTCCATGCTCCTAACCACTCCCCAGTGTCTTTATCAAATACTTGAATTCTTTTATTTCCTCGGTCAGCAACCCATACCTGAGAAAGCAAAAAAATGTTTTTTGGAAAAGATCCACATACAATGAGAAAACAAAAAGGGGGAGGGGCGGGATGGATGTTTATTTCTACTAGTTTCCCATACATCATCTCATGCGGTACTCAGAGGGCCTCAAAGAAGGTAAGCCCTATCTTCAGACAGGAAATTAAAGTTCAGAAAGTTTAAATCCCTCGTTTGAAGTGAGCTTCCAATATGTGGGAGAGCCACTTTAGGCCACCTGTCTCAACTCAAAGCCCACACATAGTACTCTGCCCGCTCTACCAAGCACCCGAGTAACAAGAAAACCAGAGTCCTCCATCATGATGCGGAACATGAGCAACACTGAGGAGGGACAGAATTCATCCGTTCCTCTCACAGGCATTCACCTTCCGGCTGAGTACTGCCACCCTGCCAGTTCCAGGGCTAGGTTAGAAAACAAAAAGAAAGAAACACAGCCTTGTTCCTCAGGAGCCCAGGCTAGGGTATTCATTCCTATCGCAGTATCACTAAACATCCACCTGCTATTTAGCAAGGCATGTCCAAAGTGCCAACCCACTGGAAGGGGAAGCTTAGAAGACTTCAGTAACTTTTAAGAATGACAGTAGGCTAACGACAGGTTTAATTCCGTTTTGCTATAGGCTGGTATGAGTTACTAAGGAAACTACTGTCATAAAACAGGAGAGTAGATTCACGTTAAATGGCATCTCATGTACTATATCTGATACATGCAACCTACAGCATACACACAGCGAAATCACTTTATGACATGCAGCTAGGATTATAGAGGGGTATGTGAGAATGGACTGGAAGTATGGGCCTGCCCCACTGACCTCTACCTTCTTCTCCTTTCAGGATCTTGGGTTTGTGGATTCAGGGACTGTTTCTTCAAGGTAACCCTAACTATGTATTTGCCAGTATGTTTGAGTTTCAGTAGCCACTAAATTCATCTACAATAAGACACAAATAAACTGTTTCACTTTAGAGAGGTTGTTGATCTCTATGTAAGGCAATTTCTCAAGACCTTTTCCTGATTCGTGATTCTTTAGTAAGGATGGATTTCCTTAAAGATTTTGGGATTACTGTCTTAAAGATGAGTGACCAAGGAAGAAATATAGTTTAGGTCGTAAGATTGAATAATACTTTAGATTGTTAGCGTTATCTTTCCTACTGAACAAAATCTGAGAAATCTTGTTTAAGAAACACCGGCAAGTTTACCTCTGGACCTAATGAACTTTTCACATAGGCTTGGATGATGACTGAGTCAATCACGTAAAACGTTCAGAACAGCATGACTGTGGTTAAAACACAAGTATGCGGAAATGAACATTCACATTTCTCATCATTCAGTAATGCCAGAGGATGTCCATCAAATGTTCTCCAAGGCCTCTCACAAGGGCACTTATCACTGTGGAGAATTTACCAGGGTCTAAGTCTTGCCTGCTCAGAAACTTGATCTTGTTCTTATCCCACAAAGGGAGAAGTTAACCAGGCCAGCAGGGTAATGTGTTTAAAACCAGAATTCCAACTTTCTAGCTCCCCATTTACAGACAAAATTCACATGTTCAGTTATCTTCCTATCTACACTGAGAACTACCTGAAGATTTTATGATTAAAACATTCTCATTTTGTCTACACAGGAAGCCAAATCACAATCAGAAGGTTGCTTGACAAACACAAAGCCAGAAGTGGAAACGGATTAAATTTCTAACGGTATGAAGCCAAGATCGTCTGATGCATCTATTGTGTGTGTAGTAAGTCCTTTAGTCACTTCAGTTACATATAAGATGACCAGTATGTGCCAGACGCCCAGATATAAAGCAAAAGAGACTCAGTACGTGCCCTCATACAGCCTACACTCTGTCAAGGGAGACAGTTAATTGATACGATAGTGTGACAGTTACTATAATGGGGGAAGTACAGGCCACTATAGGAAAACAGGAAAAACTAAGGTAACATTTTGGGTGGGGTTTGGTTTTGGGAAAGTAACCCCAAAGAAGTGGTATGTATGCTTAAAGGTGTGCAAAAGAGACGGGTGGGAAAAAAGAAATGGGTTGAAATGCGTCAGTTAAAGTGTTCCATTCCCCACACTGGAGCTAGTGAGAACAGAGCTTGCCAAGGTGGCTCTTGTTTTCAAGCTTCCAAGGTTAACCTCTCCCTTCTCCCTTTTGGTCAACATATTCTAGAATGAATTTAATTCTGAAGTTAAAAATATATTCAAACACATTGTAGTTTTCTTAGTGGGAGGGTGACTCATTTCTTCTTCAGGTTACTTATGTTCTATTCCTTTATTTGTTCCTTCTACCTTTAAGTGACATAGAAAATCTATTTTGTTCATTTTTAAATATTTGGGGAACTTTCTCCAGTATGGGACCCAAACATTTGTAAGAGTACGTGGGTATACCCAGCCCCAAAGGAACTGCCCAGACATACCCAGATACACACAACCACAAACATTCATAATTTATATGTCCAGAAACACACATGTGCACCAAGATATATATAGATATATATATATATATCTATATATCTATATATATCTTGGTACCAAGATACAAGATACACCAACACACACACACACACACACACACACACACATTTAGATACACAGTTCCAGATACAACGAGAGTGTATTTTTTTACCCGACCAGCCGAATCAACTGTAACGCTGTGAGGTATGTTGAACTTGGCAGGCCCTGTCCCCCGTTCTCCATGCAGCCAAAGTATCATAAAATCTGGACAGTGGTAAACATAGTTAGTTGGTCAGAGCAACATATAGAATACCTGACACATTTGCATGTTATATTTTATGTCTTAAGTTGCAAACAAACTATTCAATTATACCTCCAATTGATTATGCTTTACTGGCTTTCTGTTTGTATACCACTTTAATTCTTATGCTTTACCAGAAAAAAAAATTCCTTCTCTGTTTCAAGCAATTAATCGACTTCTTTAATGACTATCTCCACTTGAATCTTTTATCACTCAAAACCACTGCTGTGATTCATGTCAACATCTCCCTCAAACTGATACCCCTTCCTAACTAATCGGTTATTTGGTATTACAATTCCTCTGAGCTTAAAAATTCACATTGTTTTTATATTCTGTCTCCTTTATTACCTCTACCCCTATTACCTCTACCCCTAAAGATATGCCCAAGCCTGAGTCACAGGTACTCCTGTATCTGTAAATGTGACTTTATTGGACACAGAGTCTTGGAGATATAATGAAGTGAGGGATCTTGTGAAGAGATGATCCTAGATTTAGGGTGGACCCTAAATCCAATGACTAGTGTCTTTGTAAGAGAAAGGAGAGGGAGATTTGAGACACAGACACACACAGAAAAGAAAGCCATCTGAAGACAGAGGCAGAGACTGGAGATATGCTGCCCCAAGCCAAGGAATGTCTGGAGCCACGGGAAGCCGGAGAGGCAAAGAGGGATTCTCCTCTCGTGCCATTAGAGGGAGCATGGCCTGCCCATTAGATTCAGACTTCTGGATTCCAAAACTACGAGAGAAAACATTTCCATTTAAGCCATTTAGTTTGTGGCAATTTTTAAAAAAAGATATTTAGTTTTGAGAGAGAGAGAAAGAGAGAGTGCACGAGCGCAAGTGGGGGAGGGGCGGAGAAGAGGCGGGCAGAGGATCCACAGTGGGCTCTGTGCTGACAGCAGCAGCCCCAAAAGGGCTCAAACTCATAAACCTCGAGATCGTGACCTGAGCCGAAGTCAGATGCTTAACCGACCGAGCGACCCAGGTGCCCCTGTGGCAATTTTTTTTATCACAGCCATTTAATCTGTCTCCTGAGTTTGGTTGTTTCTTTCACAGAATTTTTTGAGTCTTGCTTTATCCCTACGTCACCTCCCTTTAAGTATCACCAACCAAACTCAGTTACTGGGTGATAAGCTGACTACACAGCTTCCATGTAGGGGTTTATATCGTGTCCAAATGACAGAACTTACTGCAAATATATCTCGGTACAGTGTCTATTGTAAACACTGCTTCTGTAACATCACCTTCCCACTAAAAAACCTCAGACATTTTAAAGGCAAAATTATGGCTTCAAAATTCTTTGATAAGCCTTCAACATCCCAAATCGTACTTTCTACTATTCAAAAATTACATCCTAAGCTCCTTTCCTGGAAAACTTGCTAATTACCACCTGTAGACCTTGTGTGATGGAGCTTGTGAACGTTCCTCCCATCTCCCTTCTCCTCCCACCAAAATCAGTGTAGTTCAAGAACTACTTCTTTTAGGAACCCTTGCCCTACTTCTCCAGTCAACAGAAGTTTCTCCTCCTAGTCTCATTTTACTTTATCAATACCGCAGAGTACCATTTAACGGTTTCATCTGAAATAGACCTGCACCTAGAATACTACTGAGGACACAACAACAGTAAAATACAAACACAAACTTTAGCTGATCAAACTGACGGATACCTCAGCTCTGGGATGTCAGGTTCCCAATCTCCTTATTCTGAACTGGACAGGATAACCACTTACTTCTTGAGCCCACTATAAATCCCCAAAGTGCTTCCAGTTTCATTCAAAGCAAACGCCTACCTTTTGAGAATTAAGCAAGCCTGTCATCAGCACCATTTATTATTGGCCATCCCACACATCTCACTTGAGCCCTTTACACACAGCTTCATATACAACATGCAACAGTTATGATATTTACCAAATATCAAGCAAACTAAAGCAATGCAACTTATTGAATAACATTCTCATAATGCCATGCAAAGCTAAGCCAGGTACCTTGGGACAATTTGATCAATCTGTTATTCAATCCTCCGTCTCCATCCACGATGTAAATATCTCCTGTGTCGTCTACATACAATTCTGCAGGGTTATCAAACTGTAGGGGAGTCAAACCAGTGCCTTTCTTGCCTGGGGTACCCAACACTTGAACAAGATCACCAAAGGAATTGTATTTTTTAATAGTATGACCATAGGATCCTATAAAGATAAACACACACACTTCACAAATACAACCACTGTCCAAACATTCATGTTTTTCAAGTAAGCAGAGAGCAAAAATGTACTAGAATTAAACAGTTAATTGAGCTTCTTCATTAGTTACAACCAAACTTATTATGAATTAAAACCTCAGGTACTCCTAAATAAGTAGATTCTAAATTCAAGTAAATCAAACCAAAACAATTGGCTCCTTATACAGGAAGCTTGTGATGCTAAATTATAGGTAGATCATTTTCTTTTTTATCATAAATACAACCTTGAAGGAGCATTCCTTGCAAAAAGAAACCAAAAAGGAAGTGGAAAAGGAACTTATATCTGAAAATCATTATTTCAATCACATGCGCTCAAATTTTAGTAGGTCAACAAAAAGTGCACTATAATACAGATTTTAAAACTACCCTTTCTCCTAGTGGAAACAAGTTCAAATTCAACCCATTAACATTTTTTTCCTAAGAAGGGAATAAATCTTCCCAAATTGTTAGTATCATATCCTTTCACTTACATCAAGACTTCTTTGAGTGGAAATTCCTTACAAGCAAAAATACAAAGTATTAAAAAATAGGAAAAAACCATAAAGTAGTTAAGAGAAATCAATTTGAAGGCATACCAAGACCAAACTAACTGTTAGGCATTCAAAAGATAAATCGGATACACTGAGCTTACTGGAAATAAAGTGAATCAAACTTGCATTACAATTCTAACTTAAAAAGTGTATTTATATTTATGCCTCATTTGAAAGCTTGAGTTAGTTTGTAGCAATAATGAGAACATAATATTATTACAGAATGCAACCTTCAAAATTCCTAAAAAATTGGCAAAGGACACAGAATACCAGTGGAAAACATTCTTGTGGGTTGTTTTTTTTTTTATAGGCTCATTTACAGCCATATTTTTATTAAAGGAATGTATTTCTTCAAAAAATGGGAAGGAATATAAAGTGTCTCCGTATTTGTGCATGAAAAAAACCCAGCTATAATGGAAAGAATGAAGAGGTCATGTGTGTTCTTTTTATTTGTGGGAATCAATGAAGTATTTTATAAAAAAGGATCACATGAATGGAATAAATGAAAAACTAAAGGCTTTTAACAGTAAATTCTGAAAAAAAGAGAGAAAAGAGCCATATTTCATTACAGTATTACAATGAAATCAGATGCAGTCTAGATTTTTTTTTAACCAAAATCTTACAATCCAAACTACATTTTGAAATGAATGGATTATCAGCTGAAGCTCAGAAATCTCTTGGGTTCTGAGAACAAATGGTAACAGCACTTCTAACAAAAACTGAGAGTTCACTAATTCCAAAATGGCATCTGAACTAGCCAGAAGTGAAGAAACAGGATGTCCTTTAAGCCATGAATGTAACTGGGCCCAAGAATACTAGAAACACTGTCTTTATGATCCCATTCATTCTTGAGATCCTGAAATTATAATCACAAGTCATCTCTGGTACTATCTTGTCTTAAGCCACAATAATACGCAAACAGTTACCTATGAAACCATTCACAGCTATAAACTCAACTGTGCTTGATTTACAACATACTCTACTAAAAATGTTTTTTGGAAGGAAAATTTCAGACATGCTGCAGTAGGTAGGATTTCAGAAACATTAACCCCGCAGTTTCTGCAAATCTTGCATTTTGGGCAACAAAGCAGTTCTGGTTTCTTAGCACAATCTCTTTTGAAAGAGAACTGGTAAAGGAAAATGAGACAGGGACTTCACTAACTCTCAGAGATTGTTAGTTCTGTGGCTTCACACAAGAGGTTTACATTTAACCTGGGAGGAGCAGCTGATGTTTTAAAAACTATAAAAAAGGATCCCTGAAAGTATAGTCTCACAACTGGTGCTAACAAAGAGGAAAAGTCCCTTGACAAGTTAATGGAAGAATCACAACGGTAGCCTTCTTGTTAAATGTCTTGACTCTACGGAAGTACAAGATTTTTAGAAAGGAGTAATTTCATAAGTCATTAAAGAAATTATAATTAGATTTAGCAACTCTTGATTTTAAAGCATACAAGCAAGAACATGGGCAAAAATATGATTTGTAGCAAGACAATTTAATAGATATTACTACACATACCACTTCCTACATCCGTGATCCAGACAGACTGTTCATGTAGTGTACTGGCTGCAAATATACCATGAGGTGTGTCAACTGTGTAATTCCAGGATCGTAGGAAATATCCATCCTCTGTGAACACTAACACCTTTGGGATGTTATTCCCTCTCTGAAGGTATATAAAAATAACTGCTTAGATAAGATTATTTTTTAGAAAGTAATCTTTATTTTGGTAGAGAAAAACAATAATTAAAGGTTAATTGAGAAATTAATAATGCTTAAAAACCATCTTCAAAACCTAACAGTATTAACTATTACATTCAAAACCAAAATATTTACTCAAAACCAATCCAAAAAAAACCAAATTTCACGATTACCATAATGTAAACATACATGGTTACTTAGTGCAGCAAATCAAGAAGCTGTTTCCTTTGTATTCATAATTTTTTTTTTTTAATCCCAATTTTACTAACCTGGGCTACGTAAACCAATCCGCTGAGGGAGTCAATTGCAACACAAAATGTTGTTCCAGTAAAGTGTTCTGGACGATTAGGCCATCCCACATCCAGCCGGTAAAGAATTTCCTTGGTTGTCCAGGAAACTTGAAAAGCAAATTTCCTTAAAACCTTAAAAAAACAAAACAAAAAAAAAAACCCCAGAAGATTAAGATTCAGTTCACTCTCTAGGTTAAAAAAATAAATAATGTTTATTTAAAAAAAAATTTTTTTTAACGTTTATTTATTTTTGAGACAGAGAGAAACAGAGCATGAACGGGGGAGGGTCAGAAAGAGAGGGAGACACAGAATCTGAAACAGGCCCCAGGCTCTGAGCCATCAGCACAGAGCCCGACGCGGGGCTGGAACTCACGGACCACGAGATCATGACCTGAGCCGAAGTCGGACGCTCAACCGACTGAGCCACCCAGGCGCCCCAATAAATGTTTATTTTTAAGCATGCCTTGACACCTGATACAGAGGTGTTGAGGCTGCTGGACAGAAACGATTGGGGAATGGGTTTATACGTCGAAAGACCAAGGGGGCCACAATACAAACCTGCAAATTATTTGGAGACGTAGTGGGGTCTGGGGAAAGAAAGAACACAGAAACGGCGATGCATCATATACAAACTTTTAAACCCGAAGAGACAAAGCAGGACGTCGGCAGTTCGGCCCGGGTGGGGGTTTTGAGACAAGCCAGTGCGGGAGCCAGGGCCCGCCACCTCCACCCCACAACAGCGGCGTCGCCTCTCAACGGTGCCGTCCACACACCCGACAGACACGTCTTCACTGCTCAACTCACCGGCGAGCCACAAAAACGCGAATGCAAAACCAGTAATGCAAGAAAGAAGCCAGCGCCTGCCAGGCCGACCCATAATCTCGCCATGACGAGACGGAAGGGTCCGCAGGCGGCTGGGGGCCACCTAACGCTCTCAGGTCCACGCCGTTCGTCGCCGCATAGGGCGTCGGCCCAACCTCGGGGCCGAAGCTCCTATCTCCAATTCCCTCTCCCTGGATGCGCGGGTTTAGAAAACCCGGAGGAGAGCACAGATCGGGGTGAAAGAAAATCAGATCTCGGGTAGCGGTTTCCTGGTGCGTTCGGGGTCCACGCCCCCAGGTCACGCGGCTCGGGCTGACCCACTGACCACCCTTTTCCGCCCCTTGGGGCGGTCCACACTGCGGACTTCGCCCGTCAGCCAAAAATAAGGGTATCCATAGATATGCCTTAACCTCTCGACGTTCATTTTTTTTTCAATTAAGATTGAAAAATCACAACCTAACACACGCAAACCCGCAAAATAGAAATTTGGCTCTCAAAAAATGATTTTCAAGCTCTGAGAAAGATTTCTGCTACCTCCGATTCTGAGAAATCCAGGCATTTGGTGTAGACACCTACGTTCCCACACCAGGACCCCTCCTTTGGCTTTCGGGAAAGAGAGGCCTCAGCTCTCGGCGCAGAGTTGGGTTTACAGGGGCGCGACGAGCTTCTTTAAAGGCCCCCAGGAGCCGGTGGGAGCTGTAGGGGTAACCAGGAAGGGCTCTAGACGCCGTGGGCGCCGCGGTGTTCGGGAGTCCCCCTACCGGAGAGTGTGGGCCCCCTCGCCCGGCGCCCGGTGCTCTCCGGCTGCCGGCCCGCTCCCGGAAGCCGTGGCAGCTGGTAACAAAGAGCCTGCCCGGCCTCCGCTGCCCGGGCTACGGGACCCAGGAGCCAGCGCAGCTGCTGGGGTTGAACGCAAGTCGGGCCATGCGCCGCGGTGAGGGGCGGCGGCCGGCGGCCTAGGCGCTGGTGCGGGTTGAGAGGCCGGTACCTCCTCTTCGCCGCCCGCAGGATCCGGGGCGCAGGTGCATCTGCTCTCCCGGCCGCTCCACTCGGGAGAGCGGCTTCACGACCTTTCCCCGGCGGCGCCTGGCCTTCAGTTGCAGGGGACCGAAGCTCAGCTCCGGCTGCCAAGCCCTGGGCTTCTTTGCAGGACTCCGAGAGCACCGGACTCTTCCCCGAGGTGTCCTGAAGCTGAGAAAGTCTGGCGGTTTTTGCATTTAATAAAAAGTTTTTATAAGTGTCCATTTTTAGAAATTTTTGCAGAGTTTGAAGTACTCTCTACCTCTTTGCATCCTTTTTCTTGCTCCTGGAGTCTTTCCTCCTCAGCTATAAACGTTTTTACTATTAGAGCAGACCAGGGATGAACATTTTGTGATTGAAAGTGCAACTGTGTAAAACCACGTCGAAACTAACCAAGATGGACAAAAAGTCCTTTGAAACGGTGTTGGATGAAATTAGAAAGGTAATTTCACTTAATGCCTTAAATCAATCTATGAGCTACGAATTCTCGTAGTTAATTCTCTTTGAAGGACTGCGTGCCGATGGTGCAAAATACGAGTTTTAGGATTGCAAAATTCGTGGGAATTTTAATGTACACTACGGGAGCTTGTATCGCGATATATTTCACGATACAAATGGAAATTAAGTTGTTAATGCTAAATTTGACGATCAGTGCGGTATTGTGGAAAATATATTCAAAGAATACTCGTTCGGAAGCCGGCTCTACAAATCTAATAGCTTTGTACTTGGCGGAAAAGTGATTTAATATTTAACTTTTTATCTCATCTTTCAGTAACCTAAGACTGACAATTAAGAGATAATACGTCTAAAATTTCTTTAATGGGAGTTCTCATGGCATGTTTTTCAAATCTGAAGATAGCCTATGTGTTGCCTGGACGGACACAACGTCCAAATGTATTAGGTTTAAAGTCATATTCTTAGGAATGGGCTTCAATAACTTGAATTTCAACACTTTTTTTCTTCCTGTTTTCTAGATTTTTGCTTCTTTTCGAGGCTGTTGTATGTAACCTACCTCCCAGAATGAACCAAACAGCAAAAATACTTGGAATGTAGCCTTGAGCCCAGTAAATACTTAAAGCACAAAAGTGTTTACACAATTAGATCTGGAAGGACCATCTGTACCATTAGTATGCTAATACTGAGTGTTTTGCTTAGAACTTCTGGCCATTTCCAAACCTTTAAGACCCTTGACTGACAGGGTAGGATTTGTTACTTTATGCTCTGGTGATTGATTTCAGCTTATGAGATGAATGAAATTGCCTGTAGACATGCTGTTTTTCTGCATTTTCTATAAAGCAAAGTGTTAGTTTTCTTCATCTGTCCTAAAACTGTTTTTCAAATTCGCGTATTAGGTTAAATTTACATGTTGGGTGATATGGAATGTTGTTTTTGGTCAAAATTTCAGCTTTTGCAAATCCAGCTTGTCCAATTAAAATTTGCGATAAAATGTCAGGTTGTCAACTATATGTATAGAATTTGTAACATTTGTTTATGAGCTGATATTTACTGTTTATGAGGAAGTAATTTGTGGGTTCAAGTAGACCAAGTAGATTTCTACTTTTGGAAGTTATAGGGTGCAGTTTGCAAAATCTCTCCCTTCTATGTTGTGAAAAGATCACACACACACACACACACACACACACACACACACACAAATACTAATGAGGGGAATAGGATATTTTCCAGAGATGAAAGTCATGAGATAGCGATTTACTTTCTTATTTAAATCCTTATTTTTGGTCTGCAAGCAAATTAGATATATCAGCATTGTCTTAAGTCTGTTAAAATGGGATAAAAATGTAGGCATATCTAAATGAGAATTACTATTGTTTTTTAAAAAAATTGCTTCCAGACTTTGTAGATATAAATTGGTTTAAACCAGGTAATCACTTCCTGAGATTACGTCTCAACAGTAAGAGTACCTTACCCAGAGTCCCATTCTCTCTTCCTCACTTCCCTTTTCAGTGAAAAACTACTGGGCAACCTGGATGTTTCTTTCAGTAAACTGGTCATATTTTCTCCTAGCAAAATGATATATATACCAAGTACAAATATTGTTTTATAGTACAAAGGGTTTAGTTGATTTTTAATGATTAGTAGCTACCAAATTATGGTTGTTTCCATCTCTAAGCTTGGCAAACAGTTGCAAGGACAACATATGTGATTTCAGCTGGTTCTGGACAGTGCTGGGTCAAGACGACCATACTTTCCCTTCTGAACTTCCCATTGATAGAGGCCCTGTGAGGAAAGGAACCATAACTTAGTACTATTATGTGTCAGATCTACTATTGACTATTTTAATTTTCACAGTAACTCTGAGGTGGGTAGTGAATGTTGTTCCCTTTTTATGGTTAAAAAGGTTCTCAAGCTAATTAAAATGCCTTTCAGAGGCCACAAGGCCAGTTAGTAGCAGGCACACAGAATGAATTGAGGGCCCTTTTTGGCTCCCTGGGGTCTTAACATTCCAGTGGAAGTACTGAGAACCTGACCAGACCTTGTCATTCATGTTTCTCTATCACTTAGCACATAATAGCTGCTCAATAATTGATGCATGAACGCGTGAATAATGTTTGATATAATTAGGCTTCTTAAAAATGACAGTTTGGTTGAATTTGGGATGTTCTGAAACTCTAATAACATTTACAGGAATTCTGTATGGAATTTCTATTAATGTCAACGCTTGCCTATTACAGCTTTGTTCCTTTTCCTGGTAGGAGTGAGTACGGAGACTCAGGAGGTTTTCCTGCTGTCTCAACGTATCCCTTACTGCACGGAACCTGGAAAGGTAGAATGTCATGTCACCCCAGTGACTTTCGCTGCCTGTGCTGGGGCCGAAGAAGGGCTGCCATGTTGCTTAGGCAGTTTTGACGTCTGCATGTTACTATTTAGCTTACACATGCTAATGCTGTTTTTCTTTTTCCTTTCTTAGGCTGTTCTGACAGAGTACAAATTAAAAGCAATTGAATATGTGCATGGATATTTCTCTAGTGAACAGGTATTTGTGTATACAAAGATCTTTTTTCATTCTGATATTCTGGTTAATGTCTATTTACTTGCTGGTCAAGTTCAGAATTGCTTTTCGTTTGTTGCTGTATTTATTCAGAAACTTTAGAAGCTTTCCATTTGGGGAGAAAATTTTACCTAGTGTATAGTTAGAGTACTTTATAAACATACCTACTTTCACTGCAACATCATATATTAACTTTATCTTATTTTTTGTTTTAGAGAGAGAGCACGAGCCGGGGAGAAGGGCAGAGAGAGACAGAGAGACAGAGAGAATGAATGAATCTTAAACAGGCTCCAGACTCAGTGTGGAGCCCAATGAGGGGCTCAATCCCAGGACCCTGGGATCATGACCTGAGCTGAAGTCAAGAGTCAGACATTCAACTGACTCAGCCACCTAGGCGCCTGTGTTAATGTTTTATTTTATTTTATTTTATTTTATTTTATTTTATTTTATTTATTTTATTTTATTTTATTTTATTTTATTGATTTGATTTATGTTTATTTAGAGAGACAGATAGAGAGCAAGTGGGGGAGGAGTAGAGAGAGAGGGAGACCGAGAATCTCAAGCAGGCTCCGCAGCTGTCAGCATAGAGCCTGACATGGAGCTCGCACTCAAGAACCGTGAGATCGTGATCTGAGCCGAAACCAAGAGTCAGACTTAACCATCTAAGCCACCCAGGTGCCCCTGGTAACATTTTAAAATTCAGTGTCCAAGACCAGTTTTCAAATATTTATTCTGAGCACAGCATCATGAATTTATAAATTTCTAATGGTAAACATACCCAAATTTGTACAGTATTTATAAGTCAGTAATTACGAAATTGACTACATGTTAAAACAAAATGTGGTGTTTAGTAAGTAGTTTCTGTCACTGCCAGACAAATAATGTTTTAAGCATAGTAGTTTAATGAAAACTCATGCAGCTTTAGGGGGAGTTGGCTAATTTAAAAAGTGTATGCATATGTATGCATACACACAACATACATAGAGAGGCCTGATTTCTGAGGAATACTTAAAAAACACTTGATAGAGAAATAGGGCAGAAAGAGAAATGTGCATCTGGAGAAGAGTTCTGGGAAAGGGTAAGAATGTGGAGAGGGTAGACAGTGGATGAATCTGTAGGTGGAGTTAGTAAATGCTCCAACTTCTCATCTGTTATCTCAAGATTTTTAAAACTTGAGGTTTGGATCACTTTAAGCCTACAGAGGTTTTGACTCTTAAATGCCTAAAAGCTACTTTACAAATTGCATGCATTGTATTGCTGTCTATTTAGTGAGTGTTTTCCAGCTGTCCCAT